TCAGTTAAAATATGGGGACTGGACATAATCTAACTGGTCTCGATCGCTGGTCGTCCCAGTTTACAAGAGAAAAACCTGGCAACCACAGAGTGTCTAAAATATTAATCTCAATAGTACTTCGACGTCTAACTACGGCAAATCCAAGAAAAACAGGCTGGTATCAGACCTGGGCGTGGATGTATAGGACGAATATTCACCCTTCAGCAAATCCTGGGGAACAGGCACACTTTTGGACATCCTACTATAGTTATATTGTTTGACATTAAGATAGCGTTCGACTCTGTTGATCATGAGGTTCTATGGCAGCGTCTGTCATTGAAAGGTGTACCAAAGAAGTATAGGCCCTACTGGAACACCACTGGTCGACTCAGAGCTTACGGCGAAGTGCCGTCGAAACTGGTTGCTTCAAGTAGTGTTCGTCAGGGTTGCCCGCTTTCTCCACTTTTATTTAACTTCATATTGAGATCTGATTTCTCAGGGGTTTATCTTCTACTAGATTCATCCAAAATTCATAGATATTTTATTTATTTAAACACAAACATTGCTACAGGGTAGCACCGAACAGATATGCGCCACATAAATCATTCGATTTATGTTAAGGCTGGGATACTGCCCGGGTGCCCAAACCAAAGTAGGCGGTTTTCTTAGGGGGCCACACCCGGAACCTTGGACCTGAAGGTTTAATCCACGAGGCAGTGGAACGTCGAGAGATGCAGTCCCATGGTAGCGGATGACCAACGATCGGTTCACACGCCATTTGTTCCTTCAGGATCCTGGAGCTCATGTACACCATTGGTTTAGAATCAGGGTTCTCCAACCCCCCTAGGTGGATCTTTCATATCCAACAACCCGGTTAAATCGCCGAATATTCGCTTTTCGTCTTCTCAATTTCATAGACAACAACTCCGTCACAAGACAGCGAGTAGGACTTCCCTGGCAGTGGTTGTACGCACGTTGTCATTTGGGAGCATTTTGAGAGACCTGACTCGCCTCACTCTCGGTAGTACCAGGGCATTTGAAGTCACTGACGATGTAGTTTTCTGACCACCTTAAGAAACAATGCATGTTCGGGATGCGATTATCTTTCACCAAATGAAAAAATAATACTTCTACATTGGCTTGTATGGTCGCCTGAATTAGTGATAAGGAGTGATGTAGTTGCATGCATCGACCGCTTTGCTTATCCTGAAAGTCATATCAGTACTGATGGTCATTATGAGTAGAGAACATCCTCAGGTTAGTGGTATTTGATTACAGGTGTCCACGAAGCATCGCTCATATATTTCGGGACCACAGATTAAACAATGAGTTAGGAATGCAGTACTAGGTTGAAACGGAAAATTGATTGATGGGGTGGTTCTTCAACTAAAATGGTTGGGACATGTGTTACGTATGCCCCACCACTGCCTACTCTGTCGAGGGATGTTGTCTGGTGCAGGGGCAGGCCGGAAAAAAACTAGGGGTGGTCAAACTAAAACATGGAATCAATCCATGAAGTCACTGACAATTGGACTTGGTCATGTTAACAAGTATGGACTACCGATTGGGGCCCACATTATTATCGCAACCAATGTTTAGAGACTTTGAATGACATTGCTCGAAATCGTCTGCAATAGCGCAGGTGCATTCTCTCTTTGTTTTCCCCAACTTCGACCGATGTACAGGCTCTACGTTGTGATGGACTGAAGTATCATGTTAGCATATAGGTTATACATACTTGTGATGGGGATGCGGGTTGATGTAGACGTAGTTCCTAGAGGAATTATCGAGGTACTGGAATTTGTGATGACTGATTGGAAATTCAGCCATATATCAGATTAGTGTGATGGTTACACTTGTCGATCCCTACAGACAAAATTTTTCAGTGGATTATAGGATTCACAAGCAGTTAGCTGGACAACACACATCTATCTAGAATAATCCCTAAACAATCGGGCATACAGATAATACCAGGCACGAAACAAGACATAGGTCAGGGAAACAACGAAAGATAAGGGACGGAATCTCTTCGTATACTTGCCAAGAATGGTTCTGGCTGGTTAAGGGGCATCTCGGAGACTGCAATAATATATTTCAGAGCAGTCGTTACCAACCTATAAAGTGGTGAGGTCTTTATGACGGGATAAATGCCTGAATAGTTGATTTTGCAACAGTCTTCTCTTGGACAAAAATGTTGGTGATCTCCTTGCTTTGGCTCTTCTACATTAAGTAGAGGAACTCTTCTTCACATTAAAGCGTAATCAGGGGTTAAACCGGTGCTTCAAAAGGGGCAAGTCTCCTACCGAACCTCTCATGTTAGTAACTTGTGCTTAGTTCGCACCCGTTGCAAATTTCCGCTAAGATAGTCTTTCCCTATGCATGAAGCTAGTGCTCGCTAGGGACGGACGTTTGGATGAGCTTGTATATAGCAGGCAGTCACCACCGCCAGTTAGCCAAGCTGAGGTATCGTAGGATCCACCTCCATCCAACCGCTCTAGCTAAAAGAACGCTACTATTGTTTTCTAGCACCTGTGATATCACCACTATTTTTTGGCCTGTCTTCATAATTTTATCAGGCTGCGGCACTCTAGCCGACAACAGGTTTAAAGTCACTATTATTAACTAAAAATCACCCTCAACCTCTGTTCAGAGTTTCATCAAGTGGTCCGTTAAAAGAGTAATGAGACTGTATCATGCAGGTGCTAAAGACATCGAGAGGATGTGGTTTCGACAGAATTATCGCTAGACAGACTGCCAATGTTCAGGATTACTTGCACGAAGTGACGAAGCTATGGCAGATCGAAACGAGGTTGAACATCCCGTGATCACTAAATAGAACTATATTAATTGATGAAAACTTCCCGTTATATTAAAAACACAACTTTATGAACGAAGAATATTCTTTTCAATAATTTCTCATCAGGTTCTACAATTATAAATCCAGATTAATAATGCATAAAATTGGCCAGATTTAAGGCAAAATACATTTGGAAATTGTAATATGTGAATCAGGAATTGTTTGTTATATAAATAAAATCGTTAATGTTGGGGCTGACTAATATGAAGTGTTAACTTGAACCAGTTTATAAGCGAAATAAAATTGTGAGATAAATTATCAGAATAAATATGGTCAACATGGGGTAAGAGAGAGAATATTGTGATTACAAATCGGAAATTGCGTAATATGTAAAATAATTAGGTCAACTATAGTAGATTCAGGGGTGGATATTGAATAAATTCATCAAAAAGGGGGTTATCAAGTGTAAAGACAATAATAATAACAGTGATAATAATAATAAAGTTTGGGACATAAAATGGACATTAACCAGATTACGTCACCACATTATAAGATTGATTATTAGCTAAGTTGGCCAGGGTCAGAGGAGTGGCTGAACATACTTCTTTTGGATACAAAGCTCTGGCTTTTTGATTCGAATAGCAATTGCTTCAGCCGTCTGTAGGATTCGCAGTCTGACGGAATTAGGTAGACTGCTGTTGACACGATAGATTATTGCAAAAGATTGCTGTATGTCCTGTTTGGACTAAATGGTCTAAGATGGAGCTGTTAACAGTTTTGACAACTTTGCTTAACCACACGGGTAGGTGCTCACGAGCCCGAATGTACAAATTCCCAGAACATCTGCCAATATAACTTGCTCCACAGGAGCAGTTAAATTGATAGATACAGAAGGAGGTGGCTAGTCTAGGTAATTTATCTTTCAACCTCGGAGTGATCATTGGTCGTGTGGAGAATACTAGTTGTAGTTTAGCTGCATTAAAAGTCATTTGAATTGATCTACTTAACTTAAGTCTTAACATTTCACTCGGCGCGTCACCTCTGAATTGTAAGCGTATATATAGAGGCTTTTTATTTACCGTTGGGCATTCTCTACGCTGTCTTTTGTTGGCTAAGTTTTTATTTATAAATTTCTCCGGATATCCATTTTCCTTCAGGGTTGTAAACAATGTCTTTGTTTCATCTTCAATCGTATCCATAGTGCATACAGTCTTGATTCTATGATGTAGTGTCTTGATAAGGTTCCTTTTTTGTTGTAGAGGAACGAAACTGAGAAAGTTAGTATATTGACCCGTCCAGGTTATTTCCCTGTTTGTGTTTCTTTTTAGCGTTCCATCTTTTCTCCTTGAGGGCAGAACATCTAGGAAGGCTATTTTACCCCCATTTTCTTTCTCACATGTGAATTTTATGGACGGGTGAGCTGTATTGAATTGCTCGAGTGTTCTTATCAAGTCCGTATGCTCGTTACAAAGGATAAATGTATCATTCATATATCGACGGTACAATGAAAACTTATCGATCTCGTGCCAGTGGGCCGTTTTCTAGTTTAGAAAGGAAAATGTCTGCCAATATGGGACCCAGGGGTGAACCCATCGCCACGAAATATCAGACGATGATTTCCTTTGACGTAGCATCACTGTTCACACATGTCCCACTCAGAGAAACTGTAGAATATATTTGTGAACAACTTACAGAACATGAACTAGAAACGATGATCCCTGTGGAGACCATCAAAGAATTAGTACTAAAATGCACTATGAATGTACATTTCAAATTCAGTGGTGAAAACATTTTCCTTTCTAAACTAGAAAACGGCCCACTGGCACGAGATCGATAAGTTTTCATTGTACCGTCGATATATGAATGATACATTTATCCTTTGTAACGAGCATACGGACTTGATAAGAACACTCGAGCAATTCAATACAGCTCACCCGTCCATAAAATTCACATGTGAGAAAGAAAATGGGGGTAAAATAGCCTTCCTAGATGTTCTGCCCTCAAGGAGAAAAGATGGAACGCTAAAAAGAAACACAAACAGGGAAATAACCTGGACGGGTCAATATACTAACTTTCTCAGTTTCGTTCCTCTACAACAAAAAAGGAACCTTATCAAGACACTACATCATAGAATCAAGACTGTATGCACTATGGATACGATTGAAGATGAAACAAAGACATTGTTTACAACCCTGAAGGAAAATGGATATCCGGAGAAATTTATAAATAAAAACTTAGCCAACAAAAGACAGCGTAGAGAATGCCCAACGGTAAATAAAAAGCCTCTATATATACGCTTACAATTCAGAGGTGACGCGCCGAGTGAAATGTTAAGACTTAAGTTAAGTAGATCAATTCAAATGACTTTTAATGCAGCTAAACTACAACTAGTATTCTCCACACGACCAATGATCACTCCGAGGTTGAAAGATAAATTACCTAGACTAGCCACCTCCTTCTGTATCTATCAATTTAACTGCTCCTGTGGAGCAAGTTATATTGGCAGATGTTCTGGGAATTTGTACATTCGGGCTCGTGAGCACCTACCCGTGTGGTTAAGCAAAGTTGTCAAAACTGTTAACAGCTCCATCTTAGACCATTTAGTCCAAACAGGACATACAGCAATCTTTTGCAATAATCTATCGTGTCAACAGCAGTCTACCTAATTCCGTCAGACTGCGAATCCTACAGACGGCTGAAGCAATTGCTATTCGAATCAAAAAGCCAGAGCTTTGTATCCAAAAGAAGTATGTTCAGCCACTCCTCTGACCCTGGCCAACTTAGCTAATAATCAATCTTATAATGTGGTGACGTAATCTGGTTAATGTCCATTTTATGTCCCAAACTTTATTATTATTATCACTGTTATTATTATTGTCTTTACACTTGATAACCCCCTTTTTGATGAATTTATTCAATATCCACCCCTGAATCTACTATAGTTGACCTAATTATTTTACATATTACGCAATTTCCGATTTGTAATCACAATATTCTCTCTCTTACCCCATGTTGACCATATTTATTCTGATAATTTATCTCACAATTTTATTTCGCTTATAAACTGGTTCAAGTTAACACTTCATATTAGTCAGCCCCAACATTAACGATTTTATTTATATAACAAACAATTCCTGATTCACATATTACAATTTCCAAATGTATTTTGCCTTAAATCTGGCCAATTTTATGCATTATTAATCTGGATTTATAATTGTAGAACCTGATGAGAAATTATTGAAAAGAACTATATTAACCAAACTTTTTCATGTAAGATAGTGTTGGAGTTTGCCTTGACCGTCACTTTGAAATTCACCATATACGGACTAGCCCTAACTGTCATACCATCAGTAGCACTTACACTAGTATCCAAACGCAAGACGTAGGTGATGCATGTCGCAAGCCAACAATGTTTCTTAAGACCATCCGACAAAAATGAATCACTTCGAGCCATAATGTGTGGTTTAAAAGACGGATTACATCCTGAGGCGATAACAGGAAGCAAGTATATGTTCAGATCCACAATCATGTCTGTTATTATCGCTTGCAGTACGGAGGTGAGAAACCCTAATATATCACTTGATGCAATCAATTCATGGATCTACAGAGACCGGTCTTCTTGACACCAGTATGATATAAATGATCGAGTGGTTTGAAACTGCATGATCTGAATGGAACATCCGGAATCGAGAACGAACTACATAGTACCATGATGTTACGACTAAGTGACTAATTTCGATTATCTGAGCACACAAAATACTTGATAACAAGGTTCATCTAACCCCACGATATAAATGAGAGCGCTCTGTTCTGGGACCTGTGTTTAATATGATCAAATTTATTACGAGAACGATAAGAAACACATGGCACTTGCATACTCAAATTTAGTTTTCACGAGTATAAGGTTTATAGCACTGAATGAACCATTTAAAACACGTAATCAACACCAACAAAGCATATCAAAAGTGCTTTGACGTCCAAGAAATTTGTTTAATAATTTATTTTTTGTGTTCTGCGGTGGCTTTCTTTTCTCTCCTTTTCTGTTCCTTGATGAGTTGTTTTAGGACTTTTTGTTCCTCCATCATGAAAGCACGAATGATCCTATCAATCACTAGGATGAACATAAAACCTACCGATTACGGACACAAGTATGACAGCGCGAACCTCCATATGGCCTGTTAACAGTCTTTAACCTTTTACTCATTGAGGTTCTTTCACGCGGTCTGGATGGCTTGATACCGAAAAGTTTACTTTTGCAATCGCCACATTTTGGAAACGTTCCACGTTTTTTTACATAGATGTAGACAACCTTGCCACCCGGAGTTTTGACTCTAAAACAAAGATACTTGTGATATACCGATACAGAATAAAAGAATTGTAGAATATGCACATTTATTACTATTATAATACATTATTCCATGACTAAACCAAATACAGATTGTTCTGAAAAACTTCACGCAAAAAGCATTGTATGAATTAGCTCAAGATGAAATTCCTTCAATATACCTCCACATACTAGCTTAAAATGCATATTTTAAGCAATGGGTGGGAGGGAACTTTTATTTTATATATTTCGCAAACGATATTGAAAGACAATGCCAGGTTGCTCATAACTTGCTGAGACTTTCCATACGTCGTTAAGAAAAACAGATAAGTAGACACACAAAATCCTACTGCTTTTAAGAACTGATTCAACCCACGATCATTTAGTGAAATATAGGACGTGGTGTAAGGAACTTCCATCAATCTTATGTTCTTGAACCACTGATGTTGTCCCGGTAGCTAGCTACTTAGAATACTACTAGCGATCAAAAAACTTGACTCCGTCTTTGTTAGCACAATAGTTTTTAATTAAGGTATACCTAGTTGTCAGTTGATGCAGCTGGCAGATATTTCATTCTAGTACACTAAGGCAACTTGACTGACTCCCATGGTTACAAGATGTGCATGTTAAAACTAATGGAACAGAAGTTTGGATCGATATGTGGTAAATAACGGACAGAATATTCAAGGGAGTGGGCTTCAATTATACCTGACATGTTCCAGCTAATTCATGATTGGTACACTTTGAACACACTGCCATGTAATACTATAGTATTGATAAAAAGGCGGTGACGTTTCCGCACTAAATAACGTGGCAATAGCTGGAAACGAGTCGAAAATTCAACATATTTGTAATAAGTTATACGAATATTCGTCAAGATTAGAACGAAAAGTTTGACAGTAATTGAGCGCCGAGTATAGAGAAGTCATTATATGTGAAAATTACATTTGAAATATTCTCAGCGATTGAAATTCAACTAATTCCAACGAAGTCCACACAAGTTAGCTGGACGAAACGTTGGAATTAGTTAGATTTCAATCGCTGAGAACATTTTAAATATAATTTTCACATATATTTGTAATAAGGTTTTAGAAACAAAATTACACCTGAAAAAACCATAGCGACGTAATTATCACGATTCAGCTGAGTCAGAGGGGACACAAGGTTTTCTTAAGTTATGATTTGAGTAAAATAACTGTCTGATCGAGTATGCCAATTTAGAACAGAAAATGTCAGCCATGAGATTACCGTGCCAAAGCCCGGTCAGTACAAGGCTATTATTTTAACCCTCGTAATGGGCTACAGAGGGTGAATTGGATGAACGTTTGAGTAAATAACACTCAATAAGTAAGAACTCACTTCTTTCTCTTGTTGGAATTGGTATTGTACGACAACCTACGCCTTAAAGTCAACCGCTGCATGCTTGTCAACCAACAACTGTGCGAAAAATATGAGGGAATACAAACAAACGATACTTTGTTCAATACAAATCAGTTAGTTTCCATTTTATGAGGAATGGAACGCTGTGTCTATGTTGGCCTTACTGGTGTATTTCTTTCACTTAGTTTAAAGTATCTTAAAGAAGTTTGCAAAAAGGACTGTGACAACATTTTTAGGTAACAATTTTCATTTGCTGATAATTCTATTGGAAAATAGATAGAAAATCAACGGCGTATGTGCAGCCTGTTAGACTTGGTTGAATTTCAGTCTTACTTCTGACAGTGGGTGAGTTTAAATTATATGCCTGGGCTATGGTCATCGTTGGTTTCATCCTGTTTTCTAACTTATAAACCACTCAACTCTGTCTACTAGATCGCTAATTTCAGTAGGTAACTGAATACCCAGTAGACAAGAGTAATCTTGCATTCTCTGCAGACAAATAGTTCCAGGTTTGAAAACTCTTGGGAGTATTCTTGTAAATTTTTCATTCTTCATGGTCCGAAAAATTAGCTTGTAGCGGTAAATAAATCCCCAAAATAAATAGCCCTAAGTTTTCGACATTGGATGCTGACCATATGTTTTAGTGGACTCATCTAGCTGAAGGCGCTCGGTCATGCATCCGCACCAGATCACGTGTGGTAACGCCGTGCTCAACATCAACCGCAATCGCTAGCCAGATTAGATCAGAGAATTCCGATATATTGGTCATCGCCAAATATACTCTTCCGATCTCCTCGACTCTGTCTTTTGATTTCTCTGGGCGGGAACGAAATATATTAGAAGGTGTTACTGGTAGAAGCGTTGTCAAACACTGAATACCTGTGACATCATCATTGGTGAAACCGACGTGATCTGGTACACCTAATTGCAACTGTGAGTCTGTTCCTTTTTGGGATTTTTATATATCATTGCCTTATTTTTTTTAACTTTTTTAAACATTGTGATTTTTTTTTCGTGTTTTTTCCTGGATATATATATTTTCCCCTTGTTCATTATCGTACTTCATACTTCATCATGACTGAACAGACACCTAAAGTACTCAAGCTTAAGACTTTGTTCCCGCCTTCGTTTCAACTCATGCCTTTCTGGCCCGACAACATCGAAGCCTGGTTTTGCTACGCAGAAGCCGACTTCTCCGAGCACGGCGTGATCGACACACGTGCACAATTCCTCGCAGTAGTCAAGGCACTACCGCGCGAATTCAACAGGTACGTAACACCTAGTATGTTTACTAGTGATGTTTCCGATCCTTACGAAATCTTAAAACGCTCGATTCTTAAACGAGGAGACCTAACCGATCGACAAAGGTTAGATCAACTCTTCAACAATATCGACCTGCAACACGGTTCTGCGACAGACATGTTGCAACGGATGAGAGAGGTTATAGGCCCAAGAACTTTCGACGAAGGCCTATTCAAACAACTCTACTTGTCAAAACTTCCCCAACAGGTGCAAGCAGTTCTGGTCTCGTTCCAGAACAACGCCTTAGACGAGCTAGCTGCATCTGCCGACCGCATATTAGAAATTACGAAATCTACTACCGAGGTATTTTCAGTCAAAGAAAAACCTCAAACGACTCAGAATGATATAAACGACTTATGTCACACACTCACGCGTTATCTTAGTCTTCGTAACGACCGTAAGAGATCGCGCACACCACGTAGAAGCATTTCTCGTAAGCGATCTGTCTCTAGACCACGAGAGACAGATAACCCCGACTGGTGCTGGTATCATAACCAGTATGGAAAGCTTTCCAGAAATTGCAGAAAACCCTGCAATTTTCCCAACACGAAACCGACTGATTCGAAAAGCAATTCGGGAAACTTCCAAGCCGGCACGCGTTAACGGCAACCGTAGCCGGCGAACGAAGCCGTCTGTTATTCGTCACAGATGTGACAACGAGAGTTCGTTACCTCGTCGACACTGACGCAGAAGTTAGCGTTCTCCCAGCGATTCCTAACGACCGACTACAAGAATCGACCCTAAACTTACAGGCGGCAAACGGAAAACCGATCGCTACGTATGGCAAAAGGTACGTTTACCTTAACGTGGGTTTACGCAAACCCATCCACTGGATTTTCGTTGTTGCAGATGTTTCTATGCCAATCATTGGTATGGACCTTCTACAACACCACAATCTGATCATCGACACCCGCAAACGGAGGCTAGTAGACGGAAACACTAATTTGTCCGTTTGCGTAACTTCTTTTACTGGTTGTAGAGTATCCCCAGTCACAGTTAAACATATGATAGACCCACTCTATCAACCACTACTCGATAAGTACCCTGAGATACAACAAACTCAAACGAAACTACCGTGTGTAACCAGCAATGTTACACATCACATCACGACTACAGGACCACCTGTATTTTCTAAAGCACGCCGACTAGCTCCTGAAAAGCTAAGGTTAGCGAAAAACGAATTCGATCACATGATGGACTTAGGAATCATACGACCGTCAAGTAGCCCATATGCATCTCCGTTGCACATGGTCCCTAAAAAGGACAGCAACGATTGGCGTCCAACTGGTGACTATCGGCGATTGAACGCGAAAACCATTCCCGATCGTTACCCGTTGCCTCACATTCACGATTTGACAGCTACCTTGAAAGGTACAACTGTTTTTTCGAAAATCGACTTGGTTAAAGCGTATAACCAAATCCCTATGGCTACTGACGACATACCAAAAACAGCTATCATAACTCCTTTCGGACTCTATGAATTTTTGAGAATGCCTTTCGGTCTAAGGAATGCTGCTCAAACATTCCAAAGATTCATAGACGACGTTTTTCGAGGTCTCAACTTCGTACACGCGTATGTTGATGACTGTCTAATCGCAAGTCCGGACAGAGAAACACATCTCAAGCATCTGGATCTTGTTTTCGAACGACTTCAAAAACATGGCATAACTGTAAACGTTCAGAAATGCCAATTCGGAACCAACTCGTTAGACTTCCTAGGACACACTATCGATGCTCAAGGCATTCGACCTCTTAGGACCAAAGTGGCGGCCATTCTGGATTACCCAGAACCGACCACCGTCAAGCAATTACGCACGTTTAACGGCCTGGTAAGTTTCTATAGACGTTTCATACCGAAATGCGCATTACTCATGAAACCTCTAACCGACCAACTTCGTGGAAATGCGAAATCCATTAATTTGGACGACACCGCACGAAAAGCATTCTCCACAGTTAAGGAACTGATTGCTAAAGCAACAATGCTCGCACATCAGGACACCCGAGCACCCATTAGCATCGCAGTAGACGCATCCGACTCGGCAATCGGAGGAGTCTTACAACAATGGGTTAACAACTCCTGGCAACCCTTGGCATTTTTCTCTAGACGGTTGCTAGACACCGAATCGAGGTACAGCACATTCGGTAGGGAACTCCTAGCTATGTATTGTGCTGTACGGCATTTCCAACACTACATCGAAGGTCGTGAATTCACTCTTTTTACGGATCATAAACCGCTTACTTTCTCGTTAAGCTCTCCTTCTGACAAGTACTCTCCCCGTGAGTCTCGACAACTGGACTACATTTCGCAGTTTACTTCAGATATTCAACACGTCTCTGGAGCAAACAATGTAGTTGCAGACGCTTTATCTCGTATAACTTCCTTGAACAGTTTCCAAGGAATCGACCTTCTTAAACTCGCCGAGCTTCAAAAAGAAGACACTGATCTTCAGCACGAGTTATCGTCCACAACACTTAAACTACGCATCAAACAGATGGGAACAGGTAAGGAAACCTTACTTTGTGACACATCTACAGGTAGGGATCGCCCAATCGTGCCGAAACATTATCGACGCAATGTCTTCAACACATTGCACAAACTTTCGCATCCAGGTGTTCGTGCAACCATCAAGCTTATAGCAGAAAGGTTTTGCTGGCCTGGAATGAATAAAGACGTGAGGGAGTGGGCACGCTCCTGTGTAAGCTGCCAAAAATCTAAGGTTATCAGACACAACAAATGTCCCTTAGGCTCGTTTAAAACTCCCGATGCTCGTTTCGACCATGTTCATCTGGATTTGGTAGGACCTTTACCAGATTCAAATGGATACTCTTATCTCCTAACCTGCGTAGACCGTTTCACTCGATGGCCAGAAGCAGTACCTATCAAGGACATCACTGCTGAAACAGTGGCTCGCACTTTCGTCGAACGATGGGTAGCAAACTTCGGCTGCCCTTCAACCATCACTACAGACCGCGGACGTCAATTTGAATCTGATCTTTTCCGTCGTCTGACCACTCTTTTAGGAAGCACTCGCTTCCGAACGACCGCCTACCATCCACAAGCAAACGGGTTGGTAGAACGTTTTCACCGACAACTGAAAGCTTCGCTATCAGCTACAAACGTTTCACAGTGGACCGACGCTCTTCCACTCGTCTTACTAGGTATCCGCAATGCAGTGAAAGCTGACATTGGATACACGGCGTCTCAACTCGTTTATGGTACGACACTTCGACTTCCAGGAGAATTCGTGGATCCTTCATCCTCTTCAATGAACATGGATCTAACCTCCTACACGAACAGGCTTACAAACGCAATGCGTTCAGTTAAACCTGCTTCCACCCGACCTCAATCGACTGATGTTTTCGTTCAACCTGACTTACGATATAGTACACACGTTTTCGTTCGTCGAGACTCGCATCGACGACCCTTCGAATCAGCATACGAAGGACCCTTCAAAGTTCTTCAACGTGAATCTAAGTACTATATAGTCGATAAGAACGGAACCAACGATAGCATCAGTATCGATCGCTTAAAAGCAGCGTATTTAGAAGGAAATCCTATCTACGTGGATTTTCCTTCGGTACAATTGAACGACACGACTCCGACACTTATAATACCTCATCCGACAACCAACACACACGATGATACTTCGACAGTATCCGAAAATAAACTTAAAACGACGCGTTCTGGAAGAAGGGTGAGATTTCCAGAACATCTAAACGACTATTGCACGTAAGGCACTTCTCGACATTTTATATTATTTTTAAAAAAAAAAAACAATTTTAATATGCTTATATATTTTTATTTCTATTAAAAAAAAAAAAAAAAACAAAAAAACAATTTTTTTAACGCTATTACGTGTTCATGAGTTTATT